TGTTGGAAATTGCGAGCCATCTCGTCGAACCTTCAGTTCATGATTTCCATCAAATCGCAGACCGAAGCCTTGGTTATGTCTAGCCCCTCACCTAGGGTATCCATGGCCTCGCTCATGCTTCGGACTTACACGTCTAAAATATCGAGCTATCCTTCATCTCCTTGTTGGCCATATGTTTCTTTTCACGCTTTCGCTCTTTGCTTCGTACTCGTCTTTTAAATTTTTTTTTTATTCGAACGTAAAGAAAATGAAGGGAAAGAAAAATAATGGAAAAGAAAAAGACACACGATCTAGATACTCTCAACGAAAGCACCAATGATGAATATTGTGTGTCCCGATTGCCGACAAGCCACCCACTCCTGCTTTAAATCGACGACAGATATCTCGCGAGCCACGTGAGCGCCTCTTGAAATGAATAAAATTGCAAAATAAATCAAGAAGAAATCTAAGGCAAAGTGTTGAAACAAAAGTTTGGGTTTTTTATTATGATATTGAATGATGAAAAATAACAAGAGCAAGGGCCTTTATATAGACATCAAATAGATTTAGTCCTAATCTAACTATATCTCTAATAAAGCAATAAAATATTAAGTATCCTAAACAAGCTTGAAATCATAAGGAAAGAAAGAAACTAAATATCTAAGGAATCCTTGAAGATCTTGTGTTGCACTCCAAGTAGCAAATCCTAGCCGCATTCAAGCATTCACGCTGCCTCGGTGCCGCTCGTGTGCGCCTCTCCGCACTCCTCGATAAGGCCTCGTTTGCTCGACCTCCGTGGTTCTTTTGCGCGCGTCACCCTCGTCCGCCTATCCTCTTACCTTGAGGATTAAGGCCTCGCGCCCCGGGTACGCACATGCTTCCCCGCGGCCCGCGTTCTTTGCGCTCATACCTGCTATGCCCGTTGCGCGCGTCAACCTCCGTCGCTCGTGCATCCCTCTCTTGCACCAGTCGCGCATCGTCATCCATCGGTGTCTGTTTACCCATCTCGCGCATATCGTGTGCATCCCCGTCGAGCACCTGTGTTTCACCCGTGCGCCGTGCTAACATCCGGCGCGCATGATAGGCGCGGCTAGAGGCGTTCTTGAGTTGTCGCACCACATTCGCATCACTGACACTGATCGCGACAATCGAACCCAGCTCGTGCGACGTTGTGCCGAGCATATGACCACTGCGATCCGCTCGATGACCTCCACCACAGCACCCCGAGCCTGCACCGACCGATCCCCACCACCCGCGTTATTCCAGCAACTCCGACGTGCTGCTCCCGGTCATCCCACCTGATCTATCCCATCAGATTCAGAAAATTTTAAGCCGTATGTTTTCTACATCACACCTCTACATCCGTTGCGCATAAGTTTACGTTTGTTAATTAATTCGTGACTTGTACATAACGAGATCCTCACAGATCCCAACACTCGGCTCCATATACCTCGGACACTCTCGAGCTCCATGGCCTACATCGCCACAACTTCCACATACCTTCGTCATTGAAACTTGAGTCGACTTTCCATTTCTTAGGCGAAGGTATTTGAGCTCTTCCTCTAACGAGGCTAATTTGGCCAAGACTGCATCATTTGTTTAAGTGTCCGATGAAGAAGAGACATCATTCACGGGAATCCGTTTCAGGATGCTCTGCCTTGTAGAATTTCGCTTAGCATCTCATATAAATCATAAATCTCTACCTCCATGTGTCTCCCTATAACTTCTTTGGCAGCGTGATCCACCATGTATTGAAACGTTTGATGAAGACCGTGATAGAAGAATTGGTTCAAGACCCAGAGGCAAAAGTGATGATGTGGGCATTGAAGTTGGTAACCTTTTAAATGCTCCCACGCTTCATGGAAAGTCTCTCCCGGTGCTTGTCAAAAGCTCGCCATTTGGGCCTTAATTAATGTTCGTCCTCTTTTGGTGGGAGTAGTACTTCCCAATGATCTTCTCATACACCACCTCCTAATTAGTAAGATAGATCGAGAGAAAGGTCATGAACAATGTCTTCGCTTGATCCTTCAAAGTGTATGGAAAACATTGCATTCATAGTTGGTTCTCAATAAGGCCTTGTAGAGGAAAGGTATTGACCGTAGAATAAAAATCTTAGATGAAGTTCAACATGTTCTCTTGAGAAGGCCATAGAAGGAGGTAATTGATTGAGATGAATGCCCTTTAAATAATAATTTTGGGCCGCCTCTCCGAGCATGAGGCGTGATGTGTTGTGGTCTATGATTGGCCGAGCAAATTACCTCATATTCAAAGATCATGGTTGTAATTGTTCTTCTTGGTCCGCCATTATTTACGGCTCGGGCCGCCTCTCATCTATGTGTGGTTCTTCGCGGATTTCAATCGGTGGTGTCTCTTCTCGAGTACCACACCTTCGTCTACCTCGCATACACACAAACAACATTATACCTGTGAAGGCACCAATGGGAAAAAAGAGTCCAATCGCAAGATCAAACACAAACTAACTACTAAAAACAAGAGAAAGCAAAAGAAACATAGAAATTAAGCAAATAACACAAAAATCAAGAGAAACACAGAAACAAGAGAGAATTAATAAGTAAATTTGGCATCTTACTTGCCTTTCCCGGCAACGGCACCATATGTTAAGTTGTTTTTAGTCGTGTATGATCCAAGTATCTCACTCGAGCCGTCTCTCAAAAGAAGACTATTCGGAGCTTCGTTCACTCGTTAGTTATCAAAAGCACAAAAAGTGAAAATGAAGCCCTAAACATTCTAAGCACGATTGAGGGATTGATTTTTGCACTAGATTAAGCTAAGCAATGAAAGCAATTAATGAAAGATGAGAGATTGGGATAAAATTCTAGACTTCACTTGCGACAGAGTGTTCAAACTCGAGAAAAAACTCTAACAAAGAGAAACAAGCCATATCTCAAGCAATTAGAACTAAAGTCGAACAAATGATTTCACAATAACCAACCTTTGACCAAAGTCTTGGTTTTTATCTCAAAAAATACGAACTATAATTAACGAGTCACTCGATAAGCAAGATAAAACAAAAGTTATCATTTTTACCCAGAACCGAGCTCAACACACAAATTACGAACGAGAAACTAATTTTACCTTCTAAACCAAAGAAAGCAAAA